CCGCCGTCGCCGTCGCCGTCACCGCCGCCGCCTCCGTCGTGCTGAGGAGCAGAGCTGCTGCCACCGCGGCCATTTTGTTGCTAACTGACAAGAACCCGCCAGGCAGCGCAAGACCGCCCCCCGCGTGACCTCACACCGGAAGTCTCGCCCACGTGACGGCGGGAGCCCCCTGCGCCATGCCAATGAGACGCGCCGGGGAGCCAATGAGCGGCCGAGCCCCGCTCCCCCGTGGGGGTTGAGCCGCTCTGTCCATGTTGTGGCGCAGCTTTGTGCGGGGAGGGTGGCACGTGTGTCCTGCGCCTCGCCAATGGGCACCGGGGAGCGGGGGTGGGCAGCCTCGTCCTCCTTGCCCTGGGCTGGGCATCCCCTCCAGCACCTTGCATAGACGCGGGCTCGGTGCGTGCTGCTGCCAGGGGAGCCGCGGGCTCTCCGCGCCTCTGATTTCAGTGATGCTGCTGTGCCTGGGTTCCAGCATCACAACTTGCAACGTAAAAAAAAAAGAGCAATTTGCATTTTAGACTCGATGTGTTGAGAAAACGTTTGGGAACTGGAAAGGCCGGGCCTGCACTGCTATCTCTGTGCACCTTGCTGCAAAGGGACCACAGGATTCGATCAACAGCGATGACCGTTGTTGGGTAAGGCATAAAGCCGAAAACACACAGACGATTTAATAAAAGGACCGCCCGGCAGGATTTGTATTTTGTATTTTAACTGTGGAGCGAGGACGCCTTGGGTGAACCATGGGAACCAAGTGTTACTTTGACCACTGGAGGGAGCCCATATTGTTCCAGAAGGCAACAGAAACAAGACTAAAGATGCACAAATAATAAAGCCTGAAATCCCACCTCGTTACGGTCAGAACAAAGTTAGACCGAAACCCGTTTATCTAGGGCAGGGGTTCCCAACCTTTAAAAGACATTTAAAAGAAAAAGCAGCAGGCACCCATATGAATATTTAAGTTTAGAGTTCAGCTCAATCTGATCATCTCATCCATTATTTAAAATTGCATTAGATCTGCAACTTCCAAATGCAGCTTCCCTTTTCTTGCAAAAATACTTAGGCAAAAAATATTTGTTGGAAGAATGATTGTTGCTGTTTGTGAAAATGTGCACGGGCACCTGAGTAAACCTCGGGGGGTGGCATGGTGCCTGCGGGCACCGTGTTGGGAACTGCTGATCTAAGGGGTTGGATAGGGTCCCTTCCAACCCAAATTTTCTGATGTGCAAAAGGATACAAAAAGCAGGTGTTGCTTCAGGATCACAAAAAAGCAAAACAGGGAATTTCTTGCCTCCTTAATGGCAGCAAGAATGGCAGCTTTTCCTAAGAATAAATTTATACATTTTTTCTAATGTAGTAGCAGGCTGACAGACACTTAACTGCGCTACTACATCTCAACTATTGACATTTAGAAAACACTGCAGGTGCACCCAGGAAACTGGAGAGAGACTATAGCTGTATTCTCCATCCCTTTTTTCTGTTAATTAAATGTAGGTCAACACCTGCAAACCACTTAACCACCTCCCCAAAAGTAACACCGCATATTTCTATGCTGTTACTTTCAAAAAGGATTTTGCTTCTAATAAAAGCCAACAATTCAATACAAACAAAACAAGTGCAGCCACCTGGCTTTGACCTCAGTGCATGGTACGATATAATTAAAAGTCTATAATGTACATACTATGCAACAAAACAAGTAAGATTCATCTGAAAATATTTGTTAGATTAAATTTGGACCCAAATTTAGATTGTTTACATGGAAATATAGAACATCAGAACTATTTGCTGCTGTTCTAAGGCACTTGGGGGTTTGGGAGGGTTCCCAACCTGCTTCCTGTCGCTCTATATGTTCAGGCTGCTTGGGCCACAGTGCTCTCAGAGGCAGTTGCCTGCAACCAGCCTCCTGGAGCTCAGGTGCAACACAGAAAGAACAACTGAAATTCATGTTCAGTAGCAAAAGCTCAGATAGGTTTATTGTCTCTTAGGACAGTAGTTAGCGGGTCTGCATAGCAATCAGCCTGGCTCAGCAAAACTGCCCAGACAACGGTAAGCGATGCATTACATGCACAGGCACCCCCTAAGTATAGGGTGACTGTATCTCCCAGTTTGCCTGGGATAGTCCTGGATTTTGAAGGCCAGTCTCAGCCAGTTGAAGAAAATGAAAAGGAGCGTCCTGGAATCTCAGGGGCATGGACACAGTCTGACAGGGAGGATAAGGAGAGGCATGGTGCACCAGGCAGCTCCGCCGCCCTGTCAGACTGCCTGCGCCCCTGCACACCAGCCTCTGTCACTGCCTACAGCAGTGCTGCTGACTTGGCGGGATGGGGGACAGGACAACAGTCTGCCAGATGTCCCAGTTTCATTATGGTCACCCTACCTAAGTTGCTACAAAAGGGTGAGGCTTACAACCCTTGTATTTATAGCTGAGATGCCCCCACTCTGTGCCAATTCTTTTCTCTCTGTCTAGATGTCCCTTTTTACTTGTCTCTGCCAAGTCCAGATATCTGCAGCTCATTCCTTGCCAAATGCAGCTCTCCACTTCCAACTCTGAGCATCTAGAGCTCACTCCCTGCTGAGTTTGGGCTTTTCTAGCTCACTCCCTTGAGTAACTTTAGCTTCCCCATGTTGAGTATAGCTGACCTCTTGTTATCTCTACTTCAACAAGTTCTATCTAACTTTTTACTCCTCTCTTTGTTCAGCTATTGTTTCTTACATTGAATTAGTATTTTCACTCACTGCATCTTTTATCAGGGCATCCAGGAGTCAGTGCAGTCTGTTAGTCCCAAGGTCCTTTGCGGTGTCTTCCCTTAACTATAGCTTAGCATAACTACAGCCTAGCATAGCCAAAACTCCTACATTTCCCAAATGTTGTGGTATTATACAAAATGCACAAGATATTGAAATGGACCAGACAGACTCAAAATGAAAGGAGCTCCTGGACTACAGTCCTGTGAATATAAACGTTTGCTACATAAGTGCATAAGTGCACACACACACATGCACACAAAACCCAGGGTGAAAACTGGCATTTTAGATTTTTTAAAATTCTTTCGGTGTCTCCATTCTAAGGTAATATTTGAAACATTGATTCATGTGCTTTAAGTAAAGCAGATATTGTTTTTAGCTCGTGTTCTTTTATTATTGAATACAGGGTTTACCTAAATCCAGAATTTGATTGTCCCTGCTTTAGTTTCTTCAGGCTTAGTCACCACTGGGCTTATCCCAGCTTTGCATTTCGAAACGTCTTGCCTCTGCCCTCTGGGACCCCAGCAGAGACGGGTTTGGCAATATCCCAGACTTGGTGCAAAATAGTGACCCCTGAAAGTTGGCAGATGAAACAAACACACACAGGAGCCCTCAGATCAACTCACTGATGCTGATGAGGATTACTGTAGTATGCACCTGATTTAAAATAGTAGCCGTGGTTTCTATTCTACCAGTGCTGAGAATCTTTTATTACTCTGACTACCAAAGAGCAAGGTGTCAAGCTCCACACTTGAAAGATGAACTCCGCAGAAGGTGGGCTGATTAAACCAAACATTTTCACCCAGACACAAAGGGCATCTCCACAACCACTCACCCAAACATGTTTCTTCACCATGTTTCATTGGGCTATGAGCAATTTTCTGGCTACAGATCGTTAGGGTTACAACATGTAGATGTGAATGCTTCCCAGCTGTCTGTGGCTAAGAGACAGCAGATTTATTATTTATTTACTTTTTTGCATTCCCATGCTCAGCACAAGGGAATTTAACATGTGCCAAGATTATGACCAAAGTCTAGGGATTTCTGTGCCCTAAATGAAAAGATACTGAATGGTGTGTCAACCTCTCAGGTTTTCATCCTTCAGCCAGATGCTCATTTTGCTTTGCAGATGAGCTGCTTGAATCTTGAGCTTCATAGGAATCACCCCTTGCCTCTTTATGCCACTTTCTGCCATTCAGTATCTCTAATGCTGAGTGCCAATACTTAACATCTTCTGTGGCAAACCCTGAATGAATGTCATTGATTTTTCAGGCATCTACTGAGATGCAGGCTATGATTCTGGCAGCCACTGCTACCTTTGAACTCTGTACTTCCCCTCCACTGCTCAGGTATTCTTTTTGTCACATACGAGTAAAAGCAGATGTGACCTTGTGTGAAGGGAATGGAATGGGGGGGGGGGGG